TCCCGCACATTGATCAGACATGCTTCTGGGCACAGGGGTTGGAGTGGGCTCAGCCGGTTGGAAAGGCTCCAAGAGAGCATCACACCCTATGAGCAGGTGGGGGACAGGAGCCCCAGCCTGGGGTGAGGCCAGGGGTGAGGAGCTGTGGGGACAGGCGAGAGGAGCCACAGCTGAGTCTCGGCCTGTGCAGCGATGGGCAGCGAGGCCGGGTGAGGTGAGGGCAGCAGTGCCAAGGCCCTCCCATTCCTGCTGCCGGAGCAGCCACAGGGCGGCCAGCCAGCGGCGGAGCGCACGTGGGAGCGGGCTAATTCGGAGATGCTCCATCACCAGGGACCTGAGCCACCCTGCACGGCCCGTGCTCAGCCTGGGGACCAGCCCGGGCCAAGGCAGAATCGCTGATCTCTGCTCACCCGTCCAGCAGCTGTGCCCACAGAATGTCACATGCTCGCTCGGGCCTTCCAGCCCACCCCAGCCTTCCCTGGCCCCTTCTCCCCACGTGGCTTCTCTGGTCGATATGAATGCACCGTGGGCTCAGTTTGTGCAGAGCAAGTCAGCTACGCAAGGGGGGCCATGCACCCCCTTTAGAAGCAGGGTGCCGAGTGCAGGCCTGGTCTCCTTTTAGGTCCCTTACAACCTGACCAGGATGGGAGAATTCACCCAGCACAGAATTCACTTTTATTCTGGAGCCCAATGGTACACCTCCGATCACACTTGTGTGTGCCTGTGTCTGTGGGTGCAGCTCTCTGTGTGTGCATGTGTGTGCCTGTGTGTGCGTGTGGGTGCAGCTCTCTGTGCATGTGTGTGCCTGTGCCTGTGTGTGCAGCTCTCTGTGTGTGCATGTGGGTGCGTGTGGGTGCAGCTCTCTGTGCATGTGTGTGCCTGTGTCTGTGTGTGCAGCTCTCTGTGTGTGCATGTGTGTGCGTGTGGGTGCAGCTCTCTGTGCATGTGTGTGCCTGTGCCTGTGTGTGCCTGTGCCTGCGTGTGCAGCTCTCTGTGTGTGCATGTGTGTGCGCGTGGGTGCGGCTCTCTGTGCATGTGTGTGCCTGTGCCTGTGTGTGCAGCTCTCTGTGCATGTGTGTGCATGTGGGTGCAGCTATCTGCCTGTGTGTGCATGTGTGCCCGTGCATGTGGGTGCGGCTCTCTGTGCATGTGTGTGCCCATGCCTGTGTGTGCATGTGTGCCCGTGCATGTGGGTGCAGCTCTCTGTGCATGTGTGCGCCCATGCCTGTGTGTGCATGTGTGCCTGTGCATGTGGGTGCGGCTCTCTGTGCATGTGGGTGCCTGTGCCTGTGTGTACATGTTGGTGCAGCTATCTGCCTATATGTGTGCCTGTGAGTGCAGCTCTCTGTGTGTGCCTGTGCCTGTGGGTGCCTGTGGTTGCAGATCTCCATGTGTGCATGTGTGTGCCTATGGGCGCAGGTCTCTGTGTGTACACGTGATTGCCTGTGCCTGTGGTGCAGCTCTCTGCCTGTGTGCATGTGTACTTGTATCTGTGTGTGTTGCGCATGCACAGTGGTGGGGTACGGAGGTCCTGCACACGGTCTGTTTGAGTGGGTGCACTGATTGCCCAGCCACAGGTCTGGCAGACGCATCCCACCTGGAGCCTTTACACTTCGCTGGGATCCCGGCAATTTCTGAGCTGTGGGAAGAAATGTGGCCTTTGGATGCTGCTGACTGAGCCAGATCTCTGTGTGAGTGTGTGTGTGTGAGAGAGAGAGGGAGAGAGAGAGACTCAGAGAGACTCAGGCAGTCCGGCAAGCTGCTGCGGGGGCAGGGAGGGTGTTTGGGAAAAATGTGTGGAGGCTGCAAGCATGGGGCCTCACAACCATTTATCACCCCCACTGCCCTGCTAAGCGCCACCTCCTCCATGCATATGCTGGCTGCTGGGCTCTGGCTGACGGATTGATTTATCCCCAAAGGCATGAAGGCCGTTCCTGAGCTAAGGAGAGTGCAGTGTCTCTCCCATGTGTCAGCTCACTAATCAAGAGCACCAGACCCAGCTGTCACCGCGCCCCACTACCTGGGAGCACCCCTCTACCTGGGAGCGCCCCTCATCTCGCCATGCAAAGGTGGGGCTGCCGGCCCACACACCCGAGCGTTCACCATCACTGACGTCCTATGTATCCACAGAAGCCTCACCAAGATCAGCTACTGTCTGCTCCGCCTTCCAAGGCCTCCAGGTAAACCAATGGGACATTCCTGTGCCCACCCATGGCCTCCCCCACCGCGCAGCCTCCACCAGGAGAGTCGCTGCTTGTCCTGAAAGGTGCTCTGAGAGTCAGGCTCAGAGAGTCCCTGGCAGACCCATGTTGGGGTGACTGTGGTGATGTCTGGGGGGGCAGCAAAGTGCCCCTGCAGCCCAAGCTCTCTCCCTCTCCACACCCAGTGCAGGCTTGTGAGCCAGTGAGGAGCGAATGAGTGAAGAGTAAAGGGCAGATAGAAAACCCCATCGCCCCACCCCTGCGCTCCCCAGCTCCCCCCGACGGGGCTTCCCCCTTCCAGCAGATTCCTGACTGGACGCTGGGCCTCGGTTACTTCGGTTACTTCGCTGCTGAGACTATGAGATGCTGAGAACTGGAATGAGTCCGAATGTTTGCAAGATGAGGAGCATTGTTCAGGCTGGAATCCAGGGTCCATGCAGAGAGTGGCATCCATCTCCAAGCCCGAGGGGTCATCAGGCAGGACAGGACAGACCTCTCCCAGTGGCCAGAGGACAGCAGAGGTGGGAGGCATGGTGGGCTGAGACCCCACGACCCAGCACTGCCCCCGCCCAGAGGAGCCCGCCCACCCTCGGGTTCTCTGATGCTGCCAGGCTGGGACTCGGGGGAGGGGACGACTCCTGTGGTCCCAGTGCGCCAGGCAGAGGGACGGCCTGGGGGGGGGGGGGAGGTCTGCCTGCCTGGGGACCGGCTGACAGCAGATGCAGTCACACACGGCAGCTGCCCGAGTCCCGTCCTGCATTTGGGTAAAGAGAAGCCAGGCGGGGCGGTTAGGAAAACTCACTATTTTAAATGCTACCTCACAGCGAGCCTGTGGTTTTATTTCAGACCTTTTCTTTCAAAAGATTTGCATATATTTTTTTAATGGAAAGTCGATATTTAAAGACTAATACATCGCGCCCAGCTGCTGGCTTTGCAGGAAGTACAGGCTGACAAACCCTTCCACAGGCCCGCTGGGCGATGCCGGCCTCCATGGGGTGCCCGCATCCGTTCACACAGTCCTTGGGGTGGGGTGGGATGCTGAGCCACAGGGAAAACCCGGTGCCCAGCGGGAAGAAGGAGGTGAACTTGGCTCGTGTGAAAGGGGCCAGGGGCACGGGGGTTCGCTCCCTGCCCTTTGAGGGAGCCGTGGCCTGTCTTGGCTCCGCAGAGTCTGGACTTGGTGCCATGAACAAATGATAAGGATGGGACCGTTGGTGGTGATCCGAACACTGTGAAAGCCCACGACAGCCATGGTTTTCCTCCAAAACCACAGCAGGTTCTCACGCCCCTCCTCTGTTTCCACCTCCCATTCCTCAGACACATTTCCTTCAACAGCCAGATGTCATGGCCTTACCCAACGACCGACCGACTGACCGTGAGGCCAGTGGCCAGCACCCCGCAGTTTCGAGCTCCGCCCCTCCCCCTAGACGGCTGGGTTCTGGGCCACCTACTCCCTGTAGCATTGGTGGGGATCCAAACACCGTGAAAGCCCACGACAGCCATGATTTCCCTCCAAAACCACAGCAGGTTCTCACGCCCCTCCCCTGTTTCCACCTCCCACTCCTCAGACACATTTCCTTCAACAGCCAGATGTCATGGTCTCACCCAATGACCGACCGACCAACCGTGAGGCCAGTGGCCAGCACCCTGCAGTTGCGAGCTCCACCCCTCCCCCTAGACGGCTGGGTTCTGGGCCACCTACTCCCTGTAGCCTCTCCTCTGGGGCTCAGTCAGTCCAGTCCCTTCACCCCGAAGTCCCTCGACACACCAGCTCCCAACCACAGTGTCCCCTCCTCCCCCGGCACCTTGTGAGGAAGGAACCGATGCTGTTCTGCCTTCTGCGGGGAGAGAGCATTTGCAGGGACGCCCAGCCTTTGGAACACTCGCCCCCCAGACCCCCTGGGACTGCAGCCCCCCTCTCTGGGTGGGAAGCAGGATGGGAGGGACCTGGGAGGAGGCAGGAGCCAGGACACCGCCCTGCAGCTCGGGCCGGCTCCCGAGGCCTCGCTCAGACCTTCGCTCGGGTCTGAACAGTTTCTCTGATGGATGATGTTCTGGTCACTGATTTTTCCAGTTCACAGAAGATTGGGAGGCAGACGTACGGCTAGGAAACAGCACAAAGACAGCAGGAAAAATGTTCAGGGAAGGATTCAAAAGGGAGAGTTTTAAGGAGAGCCATGAGGTGCCAAGAAGCTGAGGCTTTTGGGATTGGCCTGGGTTGGTACCCACCAGCCTGCACTCAGCCCTCCGGGTGTCGCCCAGCACGGGACGGGGACCTCCACTCTGAGCTGGTTCGCTGGGGCCCTGCGTGCTCTCTGAGAATGCCACACACAACGCACGCCGTGTTCCTGCTCCTGGCTCGGTTTCCTGGGCGACCCAGACAGGGCCCCATCCCCACACTGCAGAGCAAACATGCCGGTCTCCAGGGTAACAGCGGAGATGCCGGCTCCCTCCTGCAGCTCGGCGGGCTGACCTATCCTCCTGGAAAACGGTGGGTCTCTTTTAGGCCAAAATGGATAGAACTGAGGAAAGGCCTTATCTGGAGGCGGAGCCTACGACTTCTGTTCTCTTTCGTGTTTCTAAAAATAGGAGTCCGGAGGCCCGAGCAGCCCGGAGGTCTGCAATCCCGCGGGAGCCCAGGTTCGTGGTTTCCAGGAGGAGCGCCTTGGCCAGGATACAAAACCACGGGATGATGGGACAGGGTGGCCAGGCCTGCCCGCTCTCCCCGAAGCCGCTGGGGAGGGAGCCGGGCTGACCCTGTGCCCAGCGGCGGAGCACAGCAGCAGTCACAGAGCTCAAGGCCAGCCCCGCCCTTCCCATGCAGGGAGGAGGCCAGGCTGGGGGCTCCCTGGGGCCACACGCAGGCTCTGGGCCTTCGGGGATGTTGGGGTCCGACCTCTCCTGCGACCTGAGCAGGTTTCTTCTTCTGAGGAGGCCTCGGAGCCTGAAGAACCAGCCCAGCTTCCAGCCCACGGCCTCCGCTTGGGCGGCAAAGCGGGGTCACAGAGAGTTGGGTGGCCTGCTGGCCTGTGGACTCCTGAGCCTCTCACACATACAACGAATCCATGAGAGTTCTTAAAAAATGGATGATGGTGAATTTATCTGTAATTCTGGAACAAGGGGGGCCTTTCCAAATAGGAAACAACCCCCAGAAGCCCCCAAGGAAGGACTCTGTCAGAGGGTGGATGTCACCCCATTAAAAGCATAAAACTTTCGCACAGAGAAAAAATAATCTAAAAAAAAAAATCAAAATACTACAAACTGGGGAAAGGTATTTGCAATAAACATAACAAATGAGGGTGCACTTCCTTTAATGACAAGAAACCTATACAAGTTCGCAAGCAAGCCAACCCCACAGAAAAGGCAGGGGCGGGTCACACGAGGCAGCAAATCAGACGTGACACTGTGCCACCTCCCTCCCCATGTGCAGATGTCAGTCACCATGACAAGGAGACACCAGCGTGACTCTGCAAAGCACAAGGCTTGTTCCACGTCGAGCTGGAGGCGCTGGGCAGGTGCGGGGCCGAGCCTGCTGGGAGTGTCGGCGCCAGCTGTCGGCGGTCAGACGCACCGCCCTTTAGGGCGATGGAGCCGCTGCTGGGAAGCTCCACCATCGACACACACAGAAAATTCATCAAGATCAACGTGCGGTGATGCTCACAACCTATCATTCAAAACCAAAACAGTCCCGAGACAACCCAGGTGAGCGGGCATGTGCCCTGACTGGGAATCGAACCGTGACCTCCTGGTTCATAGGGTGACGCTCAACCACTGAGCCACGCCGGCTGGGCATGAATGGCTTTAAAAATATGTATATCCTCATGTAGCCCCCAAGGATGTGGTCCTGGAGCTCAGCCTGGAAAGGCCTGGAAACACTGTCTAGGAAACGGAAATGTCACTTGGAGAACATGGCTCTGGGAAGACGACGGTTGCAGACGGGAAGTTTCCACTTTGCAGCTGGTAAGATGGTTTTTGTCGGCCCTTGGAAGCCCTTCAGAACTGGCTCAGGGAGCAGAGACACCCCCAGACCTCGAGGGAGACACTGAGATGTCGGGGCTCCTCCCACGCGAGTATTTCAGCCCCTGGGAGGCAGGAGGTGGTCTGAGCTCTGAGCAGTCGCTGGAGGATGGAGCACCCTCCCCGCCCAAGAGGAATCGTGTTTCCAGGAGAAGGTTGTTCCCGCCTCCATCCGCACCCCCTCCCCCAACCCTGAACGGGAGATCCGTGCTCTGGGCCCACGGTCTCCTTCCCTGCCCAGCCAGCCGAGGCTCAGCCACCGTCCACACACCCACAGTGCCGCCAACGTGGGCGGCGGGGAGGCGCTCACCATGCAGCACTGCGCCCGCCGGGCTCAGGAGGAGCTGGGGCTGCGCTCAAAATACCCGGAGCACCCCTTCCAGGCGCCACGTTCGCTGCTCCCTCTGGGCTTTGCAGAACCACCCACCATGGAGCTCCAGAAAAGGCAGACTCATGCCGTCCCCTCCGTGGCCACGTGTCCCCAGGCAGAGCAAGGCCACCAGCCCGGACAGAAAGGCTCCCGTGTCTCCTTCCCCAGGTGCCAGGACCCGCAGCCTCCAAACAGAGCCCACGGTCCTCCCCTCTCCGAGCAGCTTCCTGGCAGTTTTTTCCCAGGGGGGTGGGGGCAGCTACCCAGCCTGCACCTGCCGGCCGGCCTGTGCTGCTCATTGAACTGAGGGCCACAGGCTTTGCCAGTCAAGTCCCCACTAAAGGAAGCAAAGCCGGTGACTGTCAGGAAAAGGCAGCACAGAACATCCTGACCACCGCTCCCCTGATGGGACCAGGGGCCCTCCGTTCAATGTCCTGCCACCAGCCGCCACTCTTCCGGGCACTGAGCCCGCGGAGTGCTTCCACAGCGTCCTATTGTCACCGGAGGGCAGGGAAGGCGCGGTGTTCCTGGGACGAGGCCCAGAATGGGCAAAGTGACCACCCACTGGTCCCGCCCCGTGGAGGAGGGCGAGTCGTCTTCAGCCCCTACGCCTCCTCTCGGGGCTGAGGTCTGAAGAGGCCGGCCCTGCGCTGGGTTCGCTGGGCCCAGGGGCCCCACGTCCTCTGCTCCCCCACAGGGGACCACTGTCAACACGGACACCCCACCAGGGAGGAAGGATGAGGCCTGGGCAGCACAGGTGGGCGCCACGGGGCGGGGTGGGGCGGGACCAGGGCTCTGGGATAGGCGGCACCTGGTCCTCCCAGCTGAGGGCTCCGTGCTCATTGACTGTAGCCGTGGAGGCAGCCCGGGAAGGCCTTCCCTTCACCCAGGCGGAGTGACCTGCGGGCCAGCGGCCGCAGGGACAAAGGTAAGCCAGAGGGGAGACTCGAAGGGACAGAGCAGAGCAGACCAGAAGGCCGTCACTGACACTCCACAGCAGAGACTGAGCAGGCGCTGGCTCCTGGGGGGTTGGGGGGAGGGGAGGGGCGCTCCCTCTGTGACCAGCTGCAGGCAGGAGCCTGGACACGAATTCACCCGGGGCACAGGCTCTGCTGGGAGGGCCAGTGGGCGTCCTGATGGGCCGGCTCCGGGCCGCGGGGAAGGACCTGGCCTCCAGAAGGGCCGCTGTGCTCCGTGGGTGCAGAGGAGGCAGGCAAGGGCCCAGCGTTCCCAGATCGGGGCCAGGGCGGGCGGGAATGAGAGCAGGCAGCTGTTCCCAGGAGCCCGGCGGGCCAGTGCCTGCTGCAGAGCCGAGGCCACTGGAGGGAAGTGGGGGACCCGTGGAGCTCTCGTGGAGGCGCTGCGTGAGGAAGTGAGCGGATGAGGCTGAGGGGGCTGTCTGGCGCTGCTGCGGGGTGAATTGTGAAACCATCAGCTGTCGCCGCCCACTCCCCTCCCCACGGCCCCAGATGGCTCCCACTCTCCCCACGCTCTGCTGGGACCCACTCCCAGACTGCTCCTCCTTGTGTCTGCCAGGCCCCGCCCCGCCCCACACCTTCCCCACTGCAGCCGAAGGACAAGGGGGCTCAGAGGTGACAGAGGAGCCAAGACAGAACAGCACCCCTGCCCATGTGGCTCAGAATGTGGTCTCCCCGTCACAGATTCTCCAAAATCCAGGCCTTGCTGCTGAGGCCCTGAGGGTGTCCACAGCTCAGCCTCCACTGGCCAGTTGAAGGGAGGCATCTCGTGGACACAGGGACACGGTGGTAAAGCGACTTCCACCAGGCAGGCTTGAGGACACTCTCCCCCCTTCTCAAACTGCAGGGCCCTGGCAGGTGCTGCCAGAAAACAGGCTGGAGCAGGTCAGGAGGCAGCAGCTCACCTGGAGAACACGGGAAGGGGCAGCCCCGGGGCTGCAAAGCCATCCCCATGCAGGGAAGCAGCGGCAGGGCTGCAGCCGGACCACCTGTCCCAGCGACGGGGAGAGCTCAGAGTACAGCATAGACCTGCAGCGCTGGGTGGACAGTGAGCAAGATCGACCCTCAATCCCTCGCGTTCAAACATGGGGAGATGGATGATAAACAATTAACAGATGGCGCCCTGGCCAGGTAGCTCAGTTGGTTAGAGCATCACCCTGCTATGCCAAGGTTGCGGGTTCCATCCCTGGACAGGACACATACAAGAATCAACCCAATGAATGAATAAATAAGTGGAACAACAAATACCTCTGTCTCTCTTTCCTCTCTCTCCCAAATCAATAAATAAAATAACTAAAAACAAACAACAGATGGGAAATAAAAAGAATAGCAAGACTGCAGACTCAAACACATCAATATGTACATTCAAGTACATGGATTAACCATCCAATTAAAAAAACAGACATTTTCAGGCTGGACTTTAAAAAGCAAGACTCAACTATATGCTATTTATGAAAGAACTACTTCCCATTTAAAGATACAGATGGGGTGAAAACAAATCTATCCCACAAATACGAACTGAAAGCAAGTGGCCAAATTAATATCAAATGGAGTTCAAGGCAAGGAGTATTACCCCCAATAAAGAGGGATGTTTCATTGTGATAAAAGGATGGAAAGACCTCACTACTCAATGTGAACACAGCTGGGAACAGGCGAGGTGTGGGAGGCGCAGCCAGACAGAAGGAAAGGAAGATACAGACTAGCCCAGAGAGCTGGACCAGTCCTTTCCTTGTCATCATAGACAAGAAAGAGAGAGAAAACACAGAATACTGCTATAAAAGGGAGGCATCCCTACAAACGTCACCAGGAAAATAACCACCTTATGCCAACCAACTCAACCACTTCCATGAAATGGACAGATTCCATTCCGTAAAGACACAAATAACCAACAGTAACACGAGAATACTGGGACCCCTGAAGCCCCCATACCTATGAAGGAAACCGAATGTCTGTTCAAACCTTCCACAAAAACTCCAGGCTCCGGTGCCCTCACTTGGGAATTCCAGCGGGAATCCCAGCAGGCATTTCATGGAGAAAGAACACCCGCCTCACCCAGGCTTTCTCAGAAATCAGAGGAGGAGCAGCCCCCTCCGGCTGTGCTGTGCAGCCAGCAGAGACCCCATACCAACACCAGACCCGGAGGTCACGAGACCAGAAAACCTACAGCCGTGACCCCGACGAGCGCAGATGTGATCACGGGTGAAGTAGGAGGAAGCTGCACTCAGCAATGCGAGGTGGGCACACCGTCCAGAAGTCAGTCGATGCAGCTGACCACATTGGCTGAGTGAAGGAGGAAAAGATGTGACCACCCCACAGACCAGGAAACGCATTTGACTAACTTCAACAACCATGAGTGGTTTAAAAACAAGAAGCTCGGAGAAGGCGTCATACTTCACGGCGAAATCCTGAACGTTCTCTCTGAGACCAGGAAAAAGGCAAGGGTGTCTGCTTGCTCCACGTCTGTGCACCATTGTGCGAGAGATGCCAGACAGCGCAGTAAATGTGCAAAAAGCAAGAACTAAAAATGTCTTTACTCAGCAGTGACATGACTGTGACATAGAAAACCCTGGGAACTCTACAAACAAGATACTGGAATAGGTGAGTTCAGCAAGGTTTTAGGTTACAGTCAATATGTAACAATTGATTTTAAAAATACGAAATATGTAGGAACAAATGAAAATGTACAACGCCTGCACAGTGACAACCGTAACGCATGCTGACAGACATGAAGGCAGACTTAATGCCACGACAGAATAAACGCCGAGACACGGAATGTTCGTGGGCTGGGAAACTCCCATAGTCAGAGGTCCGTTCTCTCCGAATTGATCAGTAGACTCAGTGCAGCCCCAATCAAGATCAGCCAGCTGCTCGTAGGAGCTGACAGACAGATGCTAACGAACACCAGGGAAAGGCCACACATCTGGAACAGTCAAGACAACCTGAAAAGGAAAACCACGCTGGAGGCCCACACATCTGCTTTCAAGGCTTTCTATAAAGCTGTGGTCCTCAATACAGTGCGGGGTTGGTGTAAAGACAGACATACAGATCAATGCGACAGGACGGAGGCCAGAAAAGGCCCATGGTTATGGGCTTTCAAGAAAGGTGCCGGGGAACTTCAATGGGGAAGGACAGTTATTTCAGGACTCGGGGCTGGGTCACACAGATATCCACGCTCAGGAGGAAGAGTAGGAGGAGGGAGGAAGGGGACAGGGAGAAAGAGAGAAAGAGAGAGAATGAGAGAAAGGAGAACCTGGACCCTTACTTCATATCAACACAAAAATCAACTTGAAATGGAATATAAACAAAAAGTAACCGCTAAGACCATAAAAATTCTAGAAGAAAACAAAGGAGAAAATCTTTGTGGCCATGACTTGGGCAAGTATTTCCTAGAGAGGACCCCAAAAGAGTGAACCGTAAGGAAGAAACCAATGAAAACTGGACTTCATCAAAATTTAAAACTCCTTTTCCAAAATCAGCGTTAAGAAGTGAGAGGGAAGGAGGGCTGTGCAGACCTGGCCCCCCCCCCGGCCACGGGCCGGCTCCAGCGCACAGCTGGACTGACCTCAGGCGTGCAGGGGACTTCCTGGGGTGATAGCGACAGTCCACAGTCGATGGCAGTGGTGGTGACAGGACCGCACACCACTATCAGAACTCACTGAATCACATTCTTAAAACGAAAGGGTTTATTTTTATGTAAATTACGCTTCAATAAAGCGGATTTCCAAAATTAACCATTTCTATTCCTGGCCTTGAGCCCCACCCTCTCACACATCAGCTCGTCCATTCTCTCTTTCTATTCACTTCAGTTGGATTCAACAAGCATCTATCGAGCGCGTAGTATGGGCAAGGCCGTGTGGAGTCCAAAGTCAACAGAACGCGGCCTTGCCCTCGTGTCTTTGCTTCGTTCTGAGGAGGATTCCCCTGCCGCGGGAGCTCACTGTTGGAACACGAAGAGCTGAAATCAAGAGAGTCCTGCACTCGGAGCCGGGGAAATCACCAGAGAGTAAGTGGTGATTAACGGAGACTTTCTGAACCTTTCAATTAACTCAGTCGGAAGAGGAGCGAACGTGTCTTCTCTGGGGCATTGCAGTTTTCTTTAATTAAGAGGAATCGGAGTTCATGTTGTAAAAGTTTCTTGAGAGCCCACTGGGTCCAAAGCCAGGACTGCCTGGGTCTGGGTGACAGCTGTCCCCCCCCTTTCTCAGCCTGTGATGCTCTCACTCCAGGACTGCACTCGTGGCCTGAAGATTTGTCACCAGCGAGAGGGCAGGGCTCAGCTCTCCAAGGCCAGGAACCCTGGGAACAGGACGCCTCCCCCATCACCCTCCCCTGGCCCTTGCCCTCGGGGGTGGAAGTGATGAGCGTGATAGGCAAGCTGCACATCTCACCTCCAGCCCCGACACACAGCTCTGACCACGCCTGCCACCCGGCACTGGAGACTCTGCCTGCAGACAGGTGGACAGACACATGGCTCCGAGTCCGCCCATGTGCACAGGGTGGCCATTCCTAACCTCCCGCCCCAATGAGCTGGGTGCTGGCAGTAGGGAGTGGGCAGTCCACCTCCCTGTCCGCCCAACAGAGAAGGGGGCTGGAGGCAGAGCTCACAGATGGGGTCCATGGTTGGCTCTGCCTCCCCTCAAACACCAGGCCTCTCTCAAGATCCCAGGCTTCCCCTGCAGGGACCCCAACAATTCCAGCTCCTCCTTAAAGACGCGAGCAGCGACATCAGGGGCAGCAGTCGGCGCCACCACGGCCCCTTGCACTCCCACGGGCAAAGCAGTCCACGCGAGTGGACGACCCGGGC